TGTAAAGGGAGCACACGGGAGACAGTGTGCTTGTAGGGCAGAGAGTGAGGAGAGAGCCTGCAGGCATCTGAGAGAAGTCCAGATTAAATTCTAAGGGCGTGAGGAGTCATTGGAGCATGCAAGCTGAGGAGTGACTTGACCAGACAGCTTTTTAAGTGAAATCCTGTACTTAGCCCAGGAAACTGACAGGAGGAGCGGGAACTTGGCTGTCCCACTACCTCAGGCAGCTGGAGCCAGTGAGAGGTTTGCCCCAAGTGGGTGTGGGATCTCAGATTTCACAGGGACAGGAAGACTACCAACACACAGCACTCCACTTAGTACTTGCACTTAATACTCTTCTCCCAGGATAAGGAGGGGTGCACTCTGAGATATAAAGCCAATTGGTGGCTTGAGGGAAGAATCAGGAGCACATGGTAAGTCAGGGCTCACAGGTGGGAGACAGACCCCTGAGGCTTCTGTGCTTCACACCGACGCATGCTCACTGCTACCGCTTGAGGCTTGTGGTCGGCTCATCCCGTCCTTATTTCTTGAGAGCGGCATTATTTCTCCATTAGTGCTGGAGACTCTTAAGTTTTGCTGGAAGGAGCTGCGATGTTGGTGATGGTGGTGCTGGGGGAGGCTCGGGAGAAATGTCGGTAAGAGGGTACGTTTAGTGCTAGATCTAGACCCTGGCTCTGCTTGAGATGAGAGGTGGGTCTGCAAAGCAAGCCCCAAATCCCCTCTCGGACTCCGTGCAGGGTCCTCACACTTAAGAGTCTTGCATGAGGATCCAGCTGAGAGCTAGGCCTGCATCATGGGCTTGAGCCGGTTAGACTGGCATGTGGACTGGGAAACAGGCAAAACGGCACAGGAGAGCATGAGAGACACAAGGGGAGTCTATGTCCTGTCTGAGAGGTCGTGCGGAGCCTCCTAGGAGTTTCTGATGGTCTATCCCGTCCCCACCCCTGCCCCATGCCCACCTCTGGCCACCGCTGGCCTGTTTTCTGAACCTCTACTTTTATCTTTCTGACAGTGTTACATAAATGCATCCCTGCAGTGAGAGCCTTCTCCTGGGCTTCTCACTTAACATAATTCCTCTGATATTCATCTGTGTAGCACGCCCCTTCTCCCTTTTATTCTCTGTGGTAGGGATCAAAACCAGCTCTGCCCAGGATTCTTCCACAGACTCACAGCCTTAGCCCAGTACACTTCCTTGCCATTCCCAAGTCCTGCCTAACTCCTCCTCCAGTTCTGAGCAGACCTCTTCTGTATGAATGTACCTCAGTTTGCTTGCCCACCGGCCAGTGGATGGTCACTGAGATGCCCCTAGTGCTATTACAAATGGAGCATCTCTGAATACACACATACAGATCTTGAGTAGATATTGTTTTTTTTAATTTAAAGGTGTATTTTATTGATTTTTTTCAGAATTTCATCCATGCATGAATGCATTTTGATCATATTCACCTTCCCACTCCCAACTCCCTCCCTGCTTCTCTCTATAGCCCACCACCTCTCATCCAGTTTGTGCTGGATGTGGGATCATCTACATCCAGCTGTGTGGGATTTGGGCTTGGAGAGCTGAAAGTGGTCAACTTACCAGGGGCTACACCCTGAGGAAAACCATTTCTCCTTCCCCTGGAATCCATGAAATGTTAGCAGGATCACAGCCGGGACTGGGGACCCATGAACCCCTCCTGCCTGCATGCTGGAAAACTGACTGACTTGATCGTGTGCGGCCAACCACAGTCACTGTGAGTTCAAAAGTACAGCATCCCCATCGGTCCCAGAAAGTGTACATACAGCTTTGTCTTCAGGTGGATGTCCAGGAGCGAAGTTTCTGGGCTGTGTAGAATGTGTTTGTTGAGCCACCATGTGCTTCTTTGTTGTGCTCTGTTGCTCCTTTGCCAAGTGTGAGGGACATTTTGCATTCCCTTGCCCTGGTATGACGGATTCTGCTTTACGTCTGGGACAGTGTTTAGTTTTGATTCAAGTCATAATTTTTTTTTAATTCACATGTACTAATGCTGTGGGATTCTCTAGAAATATTTTTATTTTCAAAGTCTTATAAAGAAATTCCAATTTTTTCTGAAGGGTGTCTCACTAAAAACAAGTCTTGTTATTGTCTTTGAATAGATCCTCAAGCAAAATGATTTATATGCACGTGTGCACACGTGTGTATGCGTGTGTGTCCTCTCCTGTCCTACAAAATGATCTTTTTTTGGTTATTTCCAATCTTCGAGGCTCCAGAGGTCAAACCACATGACACCAGCAGGGGGCGTATGTCACCTACAGTTAAACCACTCTTAGACTTCCAGCCTTTCCACTGATTCAGGTGTGGTCCCTCCTGCAGACTAAGGGAGGAGATAGGGTTGATGTCTCCTGAGTGAAGGTGTTTGGGATCACAGATGCCTTCCCTTGCTAGGGTACTTCAAAATGACAAAGTGGGATAGAAGCTTCTCGGAGCGAGCTTGGGGGGAAGGTTTCAAAGCTGGTTGCTGCTCCGATGTCCCCTCCATCTATGAATGGCCCCCTCTTCCTTTCTCTCTGAAATGTGCTAAGAATGCTACCTATTTTAGAGCATCCGTTCTGCCTGATGGTGAGCTCCGTCCAGTGCACACTACTTTCCTCCTGAGCACTGTGCCTCGAACTTGGTTGTTTAATTGACTTTGTTACCGTTTTCGCTGTCATGCTTGCATTTATCCATTCACGAGCCCAATGTGTTCCAGGCACAGCAGAGGTCCTGAGCATGCTTCAGTGGACACCAAGGAAGCTCTTCCACTCTCAGAAAGCTCACAGCTGAGATCAGCAGGGAGATGCCCACAAGCAGTGGAGCCTTCCACAGGCCAGAAAAGGAAGAAATGGAAGAACTTGGAAGAACTCATAGTCTCTGCTGGGCTTCTGTGGGCATGGAGAGGTGACAGTACGAGACAGGGAGAGTCACTTCCTGGATGCAGGCCCTTAGAAGCCGTGTGAGCTCACACCCACACACATAAAGGCAACACTACCCGGACCCAGTGGACATTCAATTTTCAAAAAATATTTATCTTTTTTTGAAGAATATATGGTTTGAATTTATTTATTTTTTATTGGATATTTTATTTACATTTCAGATGTTATCCCTTTTCCCATTCCCCACCCACCCAGAAACCCCCATCCCATCCTCCCGCCTCCTGTTTCTATGAGGATGTGCCCCCACCCACCCAAAACCACCTCTCTCCCCTCAAATTTCCCCACACTAGAGCATCCCATCTTCATGGGACCAAGGACCTCTTCTCCCACCTATGCCCAACAAGGCCATCCTCCACTGGATATACAGCTGGAGCCATGGGTCTCTCCCTTGTATCTTTTTGTTGTTGTTGTTATTGATTGGTTTTTTTTTTCAAGACAGGGTTTCTTTGTGTAACACACTGGCTGCTCTGCAACTCCCTCTACAGGCCAGGCTAGCCTCGAACTCATAGAGATCCAACTGCCTCTGCCTCCCGTATGCCAGGATTAAAGGCATGTGCCACTACAACCCAGCCCCGTGTCACTTTTAAAAACAGAGGCTATCACTAACCTTTCAGCTCACTGATTTGACTAGACTGGCCGGCCAGCAAAGCCCAGAGACCCTGCTGCCTCTACTGCCCCTGCACTGGGACCGTCTGTGCATGTCTCCACAGCTGGCTGTTTGTGGAGATGGAACCCGGGTCCACGTGCTTGCACTGCTATCACTTCACTGACATCCACGGCTTCACAGCTCCTGGTGTCTCTTTTCTGAGGCACATTCCCAAGGGCTCCACATGGGTGCCTAATCTCCCTGCTCGGCCACCTCTGAGCACCGCCCTGACACAGGGATTGTTTTACATGTCAACACTCAACCTTCCGAATATGGGAGAGACAAATATCTACTCACATTCATTGACCTCTAATAGTCTCTAGAAACTTCTGACTAATGAAGAGTTTTCTCCAACTGCTGAATGTGCAATACTGCGTCATTATCCCCCCTTATGGATGGAAAATTGGGCTGTGCTCCAGGCCACACAGCCGGGAGGTAGCACAGATGGGCTTAGTCCTATCCTCCAATTCACCTGCAAGGGAAGAGAAGCAAGAGTTTCAAGTAAATTGAAATTTTCTAGCATTAAAAATAAATCTATATAGAAATCTCACAAACCAGGTAATAAGGAATCTTTGTTTAAACATAACAATAAAATGAGCAGGAAGGGGATTCTAACCGCCACAGGAAGCTCATGTGACTCGCCACAGTGACAGTATCTGCTTCATGGGTCAGCCATATGCTTTGAGGGACAACAGGACTTCCCTGGAGGAGGGTCACTTCCAGAAAACAGCATTATTCTGGGAAATGGAAACAGAGACTAATCTAGTAAGAACCTGCCTTCTGGGTAAGATGAGCAGGACTCATGCATAATAGAGAGAAACTGACCCGCGCCAGGAGCCAGCTAGATTCCTCAGCTCTGCCCTCCTCAGGACCAACCCTGCTCTGGACCGTGTGCAGTGCTCTCGTAGGCTGTGAAGCTCAGGTGTCTCCTTGATGGTGGCCCCTACATGCCCTTGGAGTGGCCTGGAGGGGTCTTGAGAGCCACTCTCCCTGTTGTGAGGCCAGGTGGGAAGTGGACGTCAGGACATTATGTCACTTGAGTCTTTGCAAAGGTGTGGGGAGGAGAGGAAAGAGGACAACCTTCTCATTCTCATGAATAAGTGATAGGGCTCAAGGAGAAGCCCCGGGGCAGGTGCAGAGTGAGGGAGGGTGGCAGAGAGCGGCTGGGGACAGAAAGGGGGAAACAGCGGTGGGGTGGGGGGAGGAAAGCACTGAGGCACTAGAGAAGAGTAAAGTGAGAACTTTGAGACTGGGGACTCAGGAGAACCAGGAGATCCAGGGAGAGCCAGGGCGCTATATCCAGACCTGAAACCGTATGAGGGGCTGTGGGCTCTGCAGCTTGCTGAATGAGAGGCACAGGTCTAAGGAAGCCAGAAAGGCAGACCAGTGAGCCTATAGGGTCCCAGAAAAGGCAGGCAGCAAAATGATGCCCCAGAAGAAGAAGCGGAGGAAGAAAGACATCGACTTCCTGGGCTTGTACGAGGAGGAGCTGCTGAACTACAACTCGGAGGATGACGAGGATGAGCTGGAGCATGAGTACTACAAAGCCAAGGGTGCGGGCTGCCTTGGGCCATGGGCTAGCGGGCTGCTTTTGGGGCCCGGTGTCCGTCCCTCCCTCTGCGGAGTGCTTTGTAGTTCTGGACCATTGCTTACACAGTGTTTCTGGGGGTCAGAGAGCGCAGGGCCCCATGGGGTTGGAGATGAGGCAACTTTCTGGTTGGCAGAATAGACTATTGTAGTGCAGGGACTGCCTTGTAGTCTCAGCTGCACTGATCTATTTGAATTAAAAAGTAACAAATTAGACTGAGGATGTCTGCACACAATACAGGACACAGAAGTACTAAGGGAAGAACTTACCCGCGCACACGTGTGTAGCACCACGAATTCCATCCCCACAGAGCTCCTTAGGATCTCTGCCCGACCCTACAAGTCTCCTTAGTTTATCTCCACAGACAGCTTTTTGCTGCTCTTTAACATTGTATAAATGGAGTCACTTGATGTGTGCTTCTTTGGGAGATAGGTCTCACTCTGTGGTTCAGGTTTGTCTTGCTTAGGCTGTACTTACTGTGTAGCCTAGGCTAGTCTTAAATGCTCAGTGGTCCTCATAACCCCTGTTGCTTGATACTGGCATTACAGGGGTGAGCTATGAGTTTTGTGGTGTGTCTCTTTTTGTGCCAATTCTTTTTCTTACCGTCCCACCTGAGAGGTTTGTGCATGCCGTGAATGTGATGAATAGTTTGCTCTTTTTACTCGTGGGTACGATTGCATTTTTTGAACACATCATTGGTGATTCAATCACTCTTTCAATGAACACTAGCATTGCTTGGGCCTTTATTTTTGTACTACTGTGAAGAAAGCTGCTACAGGTCTTGGACACACACACACACACACTCATTTCTCCAGGATTTATAATTGGAAGTTGAAGTGCTGGGTTACGGGGTGAGCATCTGTCCACCTCTCAGTGTTTACAGTCACTCATGCACCCCTATCATACTAGAGGGACAGCAGCTTCACATTCTGCCATTGCTTGGTATGCTCAATTCTTTATTTCAGCCGTTCTGGTGAGCACATGGTGTCATCTTCCCGGGAGTTTAGTTTTCATGTCCCTGGTGAGTAACGGTCCTGAGCATGTGCGTTTGTGGATCTCCTGTATTTGATGGTCATTTGAGTATCATTGGTGACATAATAAGTTATTTTTGCATCTTTCAGTGTTACCGAAGTATATAGTTTATTATGATAAAGTGTGTATATTTTGAATGTCCTTTTTATGTGTCAGGGTCAATGTAGAGAATATTTACAATAGGGAGACCAAGGGTTCCTTGTGTTGTTCCCAGCCGCTTCCTGTTCCCAATTCCAGTCACTCACTCTTCTGTCTCCTGTTTCAGCAGGTCATATTTGCTATTAGTGGCTTCACATGTTACATAGATAACATTGTAAAGAATGAGTGTTTTGCGTCTGTATGTTGTGCTGCACAGCGTGTGTCTGTAGCTCACTGCTTTTCACTGCTGAGTGGTATGGTTTGTTTACCCACTCACCTGCCGATGGACACTTAAAGTTCTCATTTGAGTATACTAAGAGTAAGTTACTATGAACATCGGGTTCATGAGGCTTTGTGTACATCTGTTTTTGTCTTTCTTGGGTCAAGCCCAAAAACTGGACGTTTTTGATCTTATGATAAGTGATTGTATGTTGGTACTTAAAAGAATGTGGTGTCTGTTTCTCCTCTGTATGAATTATTCATAGTTTCTAGGGATGAGTCCTTTGCTAAATGCATTCCAAATGCCGTATCTTCATCCATGACTCACTCTGCCATTTTCTTGATGGTCTTAACTGTTATTAAGTTCAGATGAGCAACTTCTATAAGTCAGTGTCTGGCTTAGGGAGTAGCTGTGAACCCTTAAGTGAGCTGGTGAATCAGCTTTTCCATTCCTGTCTGAATACCAGACCCACCTCTTCTCTAAATTAAGTATCTCTGGACCTCTTTCTACAATTTTCAGGTGATATGGTCCTGGCATTTCCACCAGGCTGGCCATTCTCCTGGGACTACTTGACTCAGAAATGCCTGTGTGTATGTAGGTGATGTCAGAGATGTCCTGTGTGCACAGTGGTGACACAGACAGTACTCGAGTTCCTCTGGGGGACAGGCTGCAATGGCACAAGCCTTGCCATGAATATCATGAGAGACAGAGTCCACTCACATGGGCTACTTTTTTTTCCTCATTTGTGGCTTCTCTGATGAGCTTTTTCAGACTCGGGCACATCCAGTGTTCCTCTCATCTCTAGACACTGCAGGTTTCATTCTGCATAGGCAAGGACCATGTTAGACTCTGCGGTGCTCTTGAAAAGCTTCAGAATTATCTGCACACCATGTACATGATGCTTGAGGTAATGCACTGTCTGCCAAAGGGACAGGTGTTGTTAGCTCTTGGATGAAACTGGCTTTTTCTGCATAAACAATAGCTTCAAAAGAGAAAGGCTATTTATTATCTTCTGTGTGTCAGGCCCTCTACACTTTCAATTCCAAGAACAGTTCTGCAAAGCAGATATTACTGTGTAGTGTTACAGGCAGCTAGGTACTTTTAAAAAGCTATCTTGTTCCAAAGTGGAGAGTCAGTGGCTATCTGTAGACTTCTGTGGCACTGACACCCAACAAAAACTTTGTCCCAGCGTCCAGAGACTCACAGGCTTGCAGTAGGAAGAATAATACTTGGAGCACACCGTCCATAGGTCCAGATGCTACAGGTGCTACAGGACTCCACCTCCCACTCTGCAGCTTTGCTTTGTAAATGGGACAAATCCCTCTGTCGGAATGAACTGCCAATTGATAGTTTTGAATAATGAATATGTAACCACCAAATAGCAACCCAGTCCACAAGACCTCCTCAAGAGAGCTCAAATATATTCTGCTCCTAAGGACCTGTCCTAAAAAGGCCAGAATTAGGAATCAGAAATAGGTTTAGAGTAGGAATCAAGTGTGATAATATACATGAAGCCTATAACTCAGGCTGGACATGCAGTAAGTCATCCACCATTGTGATCCTGGCACACTTACCAAGCACTGGTATTTGTGTATTTCCATGATGTAGTGAACAGCTGCTGCACACCCTGAGGGTTTCACATACCCTTCCAACATCAGACCAGTTCTTCACATTGTAAATTCTTCCTTCCCAATGACGTCATTTCCTCTTGGTCAGCCTCCCTCGCTGCACACATGTGTGGTCGGCTCCCTGAGTCAGTGTTTCTGGCCCACGAGTGATTCAGAAGTGTGTCTCCTCATAAAGCAGGATGGGGATGCACATTTCATTTGGAGATAGGGATAGCAGCTGGATAGGTTGGTGCGCGCTGTTCCTACTTCTTAACAGAGGTGACATGGCTCTGGGGGTGGTTGGCTGCAGCAACCCTGCCCAGGCCAGTTGTGTGTTGGGTTTCTGGGAGTTGATTCCAAAAATAGAACCAAGATGCATTTCTACAATTTTGCTAACACTCTTCCTGGCCATAGAACGTCCCGTTCATCCTGCTCAGCCCACATGGTTGTAGCAGATCCTGCCCGTTTTAATTAGGGTTTCTATTGCTATGAAGAGACACCGTGACCACAGGAATTCTTATAAAGGCAAACATTTAATTGAAGCTGGTTTATACTTCAGAGGTTTAGTCCATTATCATCATGGTGGAAAGCATGGTGGCTGGCATACAGCAGACCTGGTGCCAGAGAAGAAGCTGACAGTTCCACATGATGGGCAGGCAGAAAGTAGAGAGACGTGGGGCTGAGTTGAGCTTCTGAAACCTTAAAGTCCACCCCCAGTGACACACTTCTTCCAACAAAGCCACACCTCTTAATCCTTTCCAATAGTGACACTCCCTGTGAGCCTATGGGGGCCATGTTCATTCAAACCAGCACATTGGCATTTCTAAGAATCTTGATAGATTCTCCAGTCAGCAAGTACACAGGTACTGACATCCTGACCAGGAATGGTGTTGACAACAAGCCATGCAAGCTTCAAGATGACCATGAGAGGGAACTCAGTGACCCAGCCAAGACACACCCCTTGGAAAACTGCATATTCCGCCCTTAGGTGGTTTACCCATTGCAGAATGAAACTGCCCTTGCTTCCAAGCTTTCAGAGTTCTCTGCCAAAGCAGTGTGTGATATTGATAGAGAGTTTTTAGTCAGTAGGAGTTAGTGTGGATTTGACCTTGGTTCAGAATGATGAGCATGGGATTCTGGGTTCCCTCCTGAGCCTACAGTCTGTCTTTTTCCTCTTTTTTTTCCCAGTGTATGAGGTGGTCACAGCCACAGGGGATGTTCGTGGTGCAGGAACAGATGCCAATGTGTTCATCACGCTCTTTGGAGAGAATGGGCTCTCTCCCAAGCTCCATCTCACCAGCAAGTGAGTACCATTCTGGGTTGATGGGACTCTGGGATGTTAGTTTGGCTGACCAAGTTTTAGAACCCAGTGGTGGCCTTCTACTCGGTAGAAATGGACGGTTGGACCACGGGCATGTCGAATGACAAGAATTCTCTTTCAATAATCCAAGTGTCATCCTGGGATTGCTCAATGCTTTCCTGACAGGACTTCCTTGTCACATTCTAGATTTTGTAAATAGTAATGTCTAGTTTGGACTTTCCAAGAACTCATGCATATCTCTTGTTGATAGAGAATTAACAATTAAGACCAAGAACCCAGGTCTCAGGCCAGCTTTTACTACCCTGCTCCATGAAATCTCATGGTCTCCAGGGCCTTGATTTTCATACCTACCATCCTAGGGCAGTTGAGATCATGAATGTCATGAATAACATGTGTGAAGGAGCCATGATTTTGAGATGCTCTATACTGAGGTCTCCTGATGGCCAACATCATACTTAACCTACCTGGGAGCCATATATACTCAGTCATATGTCATGTGTATGTGTGTGTGCATCTGTGTATGCTCTGCATATACCTGAGCCATTTTCTTTCTGTAACCCCTGAAGGCAGAGACTGCTACTGTCTCTTTGGTTTGTTCCTTCACTACACACATGCACACACAAGCAAACACAGCACACCTAAGAACATCCTGCAGAATTTCAAAGTTGGCTAGTGGTCTTCGAAGTGATCTTGCTCACTGGCTTTCACTCAGCCTGTGCTGTCTGGGCAGATTTGACTAGCTGGCTCTGGGCCTAGCTGGCTCTGGGCCCACAGTGCCCTTAATCTTTCAGAGTACCCCACTTCTGGTTATCTAACCCACTGGGGTTCTGGGCAGGATTCCAATTGAGAAAAAGTTCCACAACCACTTAAATCTACGGATGTGTTCCTACTCCATTTATAGGAAAGCTAAGGCCCAGGGAGAAGTATTGAATGGCTCACAGTCTTGAAGTTTTCTGTGGGAAAGCTGGTACTTCATTTACATTTATGCTATAGACATTTTAATAGATGACATGAGTCTGTGACCTGGAACATGAAGAGTTTCTCTTCTAGACCCACTGATGCTACAGGTCATGGTCTCTAAGGTTTATGGCCTGGTACCACCTGGGGGCAAGAAGGGAAGGTACAGAGGGGTGGGGTGGCTATGCTAGAAAACTTGGGACTCTGTGCTTTAGGGTAGCCAGTCTTGTTGTGTGTGAGTACCAACTTAGGGCCATGGCCCCCATGTAACAATGTTCAGATGGACATAACACCCTATTCCATCCATTTCTGCAGAACAGGGTACCTGCCTCCTTGTCTGCTCGTACTGCACGTGACTCTCATGGAAGTCTTTCCCTCCTGTGATGTGGGCACGGTAAAGGGAATACATGAAATATCCATCCTTTTTGCCATGCATCCTCTCAGAGGAAGGGATGCCACTAGGCCTGGCAAGATGGCTGTCTGGTGTCTGCAGTCTCCAGCCACCTCTTAAAGCAAAACCATCCTCTCATCTTTTTGTAGTGCACTCTCATGGTCCTTCCTCTGCTTATGTACCTATACTCCTCAGCTTTCTCCCCTCTGCTTGTCCATTTGGCAAACTTTCTCTAAGGGAGGCCCAGGTCACTGATGTGACACACTGAGAAGGGTCGTCACTGAGCCCCCATAGCCACAGGAAAGGAAAGGCTTTCTGGTAGTGCAGGGAGAGTTATAGATGGATTGACAGGGACAAGATGGAATGGGAGCCAAGGGTAGGAGTTTGTAATCCCTGAGACCACGGAGGTCTGCTGGGGAGGCTCCTGGAGAGGATCTGTGCCATCCTTGAGGTTGGGAGCAAAAGCGTGAGGATGGACATGAGTGGGGATATCAGCCGGGTGCTGCTGAGACTAGAGCGGGCTGGGCAGGGAGACGGTGGAGCTGCATCTGAGGGTGGAAGTGAGCTTCCTGTGTTTGTCCTGGCTCATGATGAATAGATACCTCAGTAGACACCTGAGGTATCATGTGACCATAGTGACACTTCACAGCAAAGGACATAACCGAGGTCTTCAGTGCCAAATGAACTCAGATACTAAGGGAATAGAAATGATTGGCTACACCCAGAGAAACAGTGTGAGTGTGGAGAGTAGAGGTCCTGTGGGGGGCCCCAGTCGGAACTGCTGTGGAGCCATGTTGCTGTGCTGAGGTATAAGGGAACAGCTGGAAGCAGTCTGGAAGCCAAGTGGTGAATGCTGAGTTGACACTGGCCACTGAAGTCATCTCAGTTGTGAGCGTGGCAGAGGGGAAGCCAGAGGCCAGAATCTGGCTACATGGAAAAAGCAAGGGAAAAGAATACAAAGAAAATGGTGTACAATTCTGCCCATGACATCCCTGCAGCTCAAGCTGGAAACTGAGTCCAGGAGGGAAACGTGGCTTTCTGAGGGTGTGAGGTGTATCACATAAGGGTGGCAGCTAAGGTCACCTCCGAGTCCCATGTTGTTAACACAGGATGTGCTGCCTCTGTCTCCTTACACTGTCTGCTGATTCTTCTCCACAGTCAACCAGCTCCAAGACAAAACTATTGAGTTTCCAGGATCAGGGATCCTTGTACATACACACACACACACACACACACTGACACAAACACAGTCTTGTATACACAATCTTGCACAGGTACATACTTTCATAAACACACACTTGCATACACACATACACACGCACACTTGTACATACAACCTTGCACACACATACTCACACAAGCACACTTTCATACACACACACTTGCACATGCACACAAATGCATATCCACACAAGCACACACTTGCATGCATACACACTTGCACACACAATCTTGCACATACCTGCACAAGCACACACACCTGTACACGCTTTCACACACATACTTGCACAAGCACACACTTGCATATATATACACTTGCACATGCACACACACTTGTACACACAATCCTGCACACACACTTGCATATACACACACTTGGACATGTACATACACACTTGTACATACAATTTTGTACATACACATACTCACACTAGCACACACTTGCACATGCACTTACTTACACACACACACTTTTATATGTAACAGACCTCTCTGATAGCTCCGGGCCCTAGAAAGAGTTTACACTGCCCAACTCAAACAAGTCAATGCTTGTTCCCTCTGTATTAAAATTCAATCTTGATCTTTCCTGACATTTCTCCTGATCCTTTCCCACAGCCTTTGGTAGCATCTTTCATCTCCTGTCTCCTGGTCCTCACCTTTTCTGACTCACCCTGATTTGAGCACATTCCTGTCCCTTTTCCTGTGACCTGAAACATTGAACTCTACCCCTCACCCAATAAAATTCCCATTTCAAGAAGATCTTTGCTATCTGACTTCTGGGCAACAAAGAATAGGAAATGTCCCCTCAGTTTCCCACGTGTGACCTTTCACCCAATCCTCACATCAGTGAAGACCCTACAAAATGATTTCCAAAGGAAGTCACCATCTTCTTGGTTTCCTGCACCCCACCCCCATTGCCCAGGAGACCCCGTGTTTAAGACATGGCAAAAGGATGGGATTTCATGTATTATATGGTTTGTTTTCCCACTGAGAATTCACACCCCAGCGTGTTGAAGAATGCCTGGCATTTTAGTTTAGAGGGTCTGCCTTGCTAGTGGCTAAAATGCTGGGAAATCCCTGCTGAATGGTGCTATGGGCAGTACCCTGAGCTACACTTTATTCCAGGATGGTGCAGGAGCCGTGGTGGGTCCCTCCTCCCACTGGGAAGTGTGAGGAGGCCCGCATTTCTGTTTCTTTTGGGATTTCTAAGCCAGCCCTGGTCAGTTTTCTAAAGCAATTGCATTCTGACTTACTAGAAATGGGCTTCTCAGATCTGATCCCAGAGTTGGGGCTGGGGGCTTCTTTGGGATAGTCCCAGCCTCTCCTTGAAAGTGACCAGCCAATGGAGTTTGTTTGCAGCCCTTTCTTCTCTGGAGACAGGGCTTTCCTGTATGCCGAGATTGATCTTCATGGTACAGACACTAATGAAGTTCATATCACGTCTGTCCAGGAGCCGTTCTAGGACAAACAACATGGCCCTGAGCTGGCCTAGAGTGCCCCTGCTCCTGCTGGACATGCACATCTTTCTCCCTGTGTCTGTGCTCCTCACCACAGGCTGCAGAGCAGCAAGAGAGCAAGGATTAGTTATTCAACTGGTGTAGCATGTAGTTTAAAAATCTAACCACTCTGAACCGGCTAAGCACAAGCATCGGCGGTCTCGCCCTGGTTCCTAGCCTGGTGTATAGCCCGAGCTTGGGTACCTCTGCCCTGGAGCTTGGTTCTTGCCCAATCTTCCCATCCCAAAGCCTGGCTGAATTCTACTCCAGCTAAGTTCTTTCCCTCTGGCCCATCTAAGTCGCTGCAAATGGAAAACACCAGACAATCTTAATTTAAAATCAACAGATGACACAACCACTGAGTGTGGAATCTATCATATGTGAAAGCTGCCACCAGATCTAATATTTCCCGCTCTTCCTTCCTCCCGCGTCCCCTCTTCTTCACTCTGACCCGGAAGAAGGAAGACCCAGAAAGCCTGCTTCCTCCTTTTCGCCCAATGACTGGCTTCTTTTGATCTTTAGTATCCAATCAATTAATTGGGGGAAAATTCCTCTACAAACTAGCAGAGTGGTACACTATTTAGGGCTCCCCTTTGCTGAAGGCAGCTTTTAGAGCTTTCTTGCCAGAACCCTCATCAGAGGTACCACAGAAACCCAGCCTCCTCCCTCCACATGCATCATTGGCTGAAATGGTCTGGAAACACTTTCCTTCTTGTCCTCTGTTTCCAGTAGTTTATTTTCTAGGTTCCTTGCACCTTTAGAACATGACACCTACCATCCTCAAACCTTCAGCATCCCATGGGCCAAGTTGGGTGTTGGGGGTGGGCGGTCAAGGGATCTGGAGTATGGGGAATCACAAAATCAGTACGTCCTTCTTTGAAAAATAAAATGTAAAAGTTCATACAGACAAGAACAAGTAAGACGTCATAGACTTAGCCTCTGAGTGTGGCATGGTACATTTGTATAAATCCCAATGCTCGTTGTTTTCATATGAAGGTAGTGTCATCCTGTTTGTATTGATTGTTCTGTTCACAGATTCCATCTCAACACGTTTTTTTAAAGCTTGCATCATAAATGTCTTCAAGTGTTCTTTTGTAATAGGATTCTTAATGGCTACAAAGCATTCAGTCATATAACTTCCCAGGGCATCTTTTCCTTAGGGTGTTTACTTAATGCAGAAACTCTTGTTGACTTATTCTAAAAATCTATTGCTTTATGCCATGAAATGAAAAAGAAAATGCCTTATTCACTTTCTTTGGTTTTTCATTCACAAAATCCTATTGTACAGAATTGATGTCCATGTGGTTTCCTTTCAAGTTTACGTCATAGCTGCCATGCCAGAACCAGAAGCTGGAGTGTCCTGTTCTTCTCCCTCAGACGCAAACCCCACATCAGCAGGCACACCTCCACGGGTACTGGTTTGGTTTGGTTCCATTTTCAACACCGGATCCAAAAGCTTTATCTTCCCAGGAAAGAGATCAAATCACTCTTTGGAGGAAACATTTTGCCTGCACACTTGACGTGGCATTGCTCGGCTCCTCCCCCCTCCCCCTGGACAAACACCCACCTGAGCTCAGAGACATGCCAGAAGCCTTGGAGTCTCCATTTCCCTACAGCAAACCTAGAAGCTTCCCCTTTCTCCTCCTTCCTTCTCTGTTCCCAGGCTTCTTGGGTCCTCCTTTCCCTGACGAGGCTGCCTTAGTACATCTTCACGGGCTCTGTTCTTTTTGTAGGAGGCTGGGACCCCACCCCATTGTGCCCCGCCTCTTAAGGAAACTTCTCCCCAAGACAGATTGCTCTTCAAAGTGGATCCATTGGCAGAATCCCAGCTTCTGGGCACTGAAGAACCTGGAAGGCTCTCTGTGCCTGACTTCAGACTGTGGCCTTCACTCCCTTTATTTTGAAGAACACAGCCAGACAGTAAATGTTAATAACCATAAGCTTGGTTATTTAACATCCACGGCTGTGACAGATACTTAAAACAAACCAGCTCAAAAGAGAAAGACTTTATTTTGCTCCAGAGTTTTGGAGGTTTTGATCCATGATCAGTTTGGCTGCGTGGCTTTTAGGAGATGTGATGGTGTGACAGGTCAGCACCAGCCGTGAAGGAAGCTGTTCAAATTACAGCAACCAGGAAGTGAAGCGAGGAAGAGGAGTTACCACAGGGTCCCAATACCCCCTTCAAGGGCATAGCCTCTGCGAACTGACTCCCCTCCACTCGGCCCTGCCTTCTTTATTGTGCAATGCTGGGAATAGAAACCAGGGCCTCATGCATGCCAGGAAAATGCTTTATCTTATTACTGGGCTATACTTCTAGGTCCAACCTCTTACAGGCTCCCAAATAGCGATTGGGGTAGGTGTGGGGTATGAGATTCACAAGGGCTTTGGGAATACATTTAAGGTATAAACCATCACATAGGCAAATGTCTTCTGTGTTTTTCTTTTCTCCTGGCTGTGTGCTGGGCCACGAGCTATGGCTGAGGGCATAGACTCTCAAACCAGAGGGCTCAGCTATGAGGGAGGCAGAAAGCTGCTGGCAGATGTGGGCTGTCACAGCTGGATTCCTGGCCCACCCAGAGGGTGAAATAGATGCCAACATGAGACTCAGCTGTCCACTCCAGAAGAGCTGGGGGCAAGGCCTCCAGCCTCCTGTGTGACGCACTTGAACGTAGGATGTGCAGAAGCTGGGACTGGCCTGGGGTCTACACTGCCTCACACCTGAGGTGTATTTCCTCTGATTGCACTTTTTGCCGGGTGCCAGTCATGATATTCCCCTTACTGCGTCTGCTTCCCTGGTTGCTGGGGGTTGGGGGGAAGGACCCCTTTTCAATGGCAGGATCACAGGCCACCCAAGGTCTGCATCTACTTGGGGCTGTGTTCTTCTCACAGAACAGGGCAGGTGATGGGTATGGTGCAAGGGGGCCTTCAGATAAGAAGCCCCAGGCATCCATCCATCACTCTCTCCTCTTCCCTGAGCAGATCCCAGTTGTTCTACTACATAGTGGTTTGCATGGGCACACAATGGTGCTGGGTATCAGCCACTGTGTTTGCCTTGGTGACTCATGGCAATGCTTAATTGAACTTCTGGATGTGCGCCTCGGCATGATCCTGCCTGACCTTCCCCTCCTCGTCTCTGACCAAGTTAGGGAGGAAGCTCAAAACGGTAGTCAGTTGCATGCAGCTCTCCCAGCAAGTGGCATACGGACCAAGAAGAGTGCGCCAGCCTCTGGCTCTGTTCCTGGGCCCGTGAGACACATTATTCAGACTAACTGCACGTGTTCACCGTAGGAGCGAGTCTGCTTTCGAGAAAGCCAACGTTGACGTATTCCGGGTGCGAACCAATAACGTGGGACTCATCTATAAAATCAGGTGAGAGTCTGCCCCCGACTACAGTGGTGGTGATCAAGGTTGACATTTTCTTGATGTTCAATATCACTGGCTGCCCATATCCCCACCCCCTTGTATCACAGAGCTCATAGCTCCAAGCTGTCCCATTAGAGACTTGCTTTCATGGGCTAGGGCAATCTGATACAATTTTCCGCTAGCTCTTAGAGACACTAAAGCAAGATAATTGGGAACAAATCCCTGGGTCCAAGTCCAAGGCCTGCTCTGCTGGTTGGTTTTTAGGTGTAGGATTTTAGAGAGTTTATCTTTCCACGTCTCTGCTTCCTCCTCTCTAATAATGGTGCCCCATCTACATAATGCTGGGACTCACTGAGTTGGTGCATAGCACAGTCAGTGGTAAGCACTAAGCACTCAGTGAGGACTGTGTTGTAAGAAGCCTTGAGATGGAGAATCCCACAATGTTCTCATTGGGAGGGTTTCTGTGAACTGTCTTCCTCTGCTAACCACCGCTATCTGGGATATGCTTGCTTTAGGGTCATCTGTGGTCTGATTGTCTCTAACTGCAATCTGGACAGGGCTCAGATGCAGCCTCAATTCAGTCCTAGCTTTTTCCCCTCCCACTAGAAAACCTGGGGCCATGGAGTCCCTTTGCTGGGAGAGTAAGAAGATATAAGGCCAGGCACTTGTTATGTGCAGGGAGGGGAATATATACAGAGAAGGGCTCTTACAGGGAGGCAGGGGAAGAAGATTGGTGTGTGGAAAGTGGTCCTTGACCAAAGTCTTGCTGGGGCCAAACTCTGTGCCTGGCAGAGGCCCAGTGTAGCAGGCTGGTCATCTGTTGGTTGGAGTCATGGAGTTTACAGGAATGTGAGCTTCTGGGATAAGCCTAAAGTGTAATGGGACAAAATGAGATGTTCCATGTCCCACGAGGTCATTATGGGGAAGAAATTAGAGGTGGGAGCTGTAGGAAGTGGGAGAAGACTTGGAACACAGATTCAGAAGAGTCTGTATCTCTGTTCCCCAGCACAGAAGGCATGTGTCTATTGTGAATGTAAAATATAGCTGACTCACACCAAGTGTGTTGTGTGGATAAAACAGTCACCAGGTTTTAAAAACACTTAACACAGGAAAAAGAATGCACAACGTATTGTTAATTTTTTTACATGGTTATGTGGGAAATACGATATATTATTAAAATCCATTCTACCAGCTTCTCTATAGCCTTAAAATCAAGACTACTAGAAAAATTTAAAATTGTGTGTGTGGTTCATGTGACGTTTCCATGGGACAATGTTGGTCAGGATGGGATCCTTAGATGGCAAGATGAAGGGTGGTACCTGGGGGTGAGAGTGACTGAGAGGGGGACTTGATCAACTCAGAGTAATGGGAGGAACAGTTTACACAAGGGGCCAGTCTAAAGGGCTAGGGGGCTTCCGCTCTCTACTCATTCCCTCATGCTTTCCCTTCATTAGGTCTGGGTTGGCTACCTTTTCCATCTAGACTCTGATAGGCTTCAAGACATGATGGGGTGTACGTACAGCTGGGGTCAGGGCAGACAGAGTGCAGTGCTGGCAGAGACTGAGGTTAGGAAAGAGCCCAGGACCTTCCAGGCCCAGTCAAAATGTTCCTACTGAGAGCTCCAGGGACTTGGATTTTCCCAGGAAGTAAACTATTTCCCCGTGGAAGTGCGACAACATAATCACCATTAATGTGCACATCCACCTTGCAAAATATCACCATGAGTAGATGAGGAAACTTAGGACTAAAGCAAGGAGATGACTGGACCCTCTCCGGAGCAGTCATTGGGTACCCTCGTGTGAAAGGGGCAGCATCTTGGTTCTGCTAGTGAAGTGGGGGTGTTGGCTTCTCGCCCCAGGATTGAGCATGATAACACAGGCTTGAATGCCAGCTGGTACCTGGACCGAGTTATAGTGACTGACATGAAGAGGCCCCATCTCCGCTACTACTTCAACTGCAACAGCTGGCTGAGCAAGGTGGAGGGTGACCGTCAGTGGTGCCGTGACCTGCTGGCCAGCTTCGACCCCATGGACATGCCCAGAGGTCAGTAGCTAGCTTTGTTTTCCCACCATACCTCCATGCCAGGGCCTGGCTCCTTGCTGTGCTCCGGAAGCCCACCTTCCCCCCCTCACCATGTGTCCTCTTGACTTGAGCCTCGTGGAATTCCATCTGTGCTGGGCAGTATTTGTCTGTTGAAGGGAAAAGGAACTTTGGGGCAGGAGAAGACAGGCAGCTTCCCTGTGGCCAGCAGAACAACACATTAGCAAACTCACCAGTTTTGTCCTGGTGCTGTCCCCAAGTCCCCCCTCCATCCCCACCCTTCAGTCCACCCTGGCAGAAGCAAGCATGCCCTCTATTCTCTGGCTGTGACTCTCCGTTTCTGCACCTATGTCTGACTTCCCACCTCTTGAGGAGCTTTGAGCACAAGGCATTTTTGTAATGCCCAGCACTCTAAACTTGCAACTTCACTGATTCTTAAACGAAATGTCATCAGGAGTTTATTTTCTTATAAAGCCAATTTTCATCATTGCACACAGTTTAGAAAATAGACACATGCAAATATAAAAGAGAATAATTTAATCACATCACCTGGAAAAATACCACCCACCAGTGACAGATGCACTAATTTCTAGCCCTTTCTGTGCATATGTGCTATGAAATAGTGGGTTGGTATATCCTCTGCTCTATAGCATGGATATTTTGGTGCCATCAAATATTACTTAACATTTCTATTTCTGTATTTATGATAGTGTATTTTCTTGACCTGTTCTCAACCTGGGGGTCATGACCCACAGAAGACCACCAGAAAACACAGATATTTATATTACAATTCATAACAGAAGTAAAACTGCAGTTATGAAGTAGTGATGAAAATAATTTTATGGTTGGGGGTCACCATAACATAAGAAACTGTATTAAAGGGTGGTAGCATTAGGAAGGTTGAGAACCACTGTGCTAGAATGTGTCATTCGCTCATTACTCCAGTACTGACTGAATACCTCATTATTGGACACCTATGGTGTGTTTCTTTTCTAAACAATACACCTAAATGTGTTTTTTGGATTCAAGACTCTTTCGTTATGATAAATTCCAAAGTGGCATTTCTAAGTCAAACGGTATGCCCATGGTTAAAGCTTTTAAAAAGCCATTTTGTGGTGTGTGTGTGTGTTGTGCATGTGTGTACAAGTGCAAAGTTGTCACAGTGCAAGTGTGGAGGTCAGAGGACAACTTGTCAGAGTTTATTCTCCCCTCCCACCATGTGGGTTCTGAGACAGAGCTCAGGTTGTCAGGTCTGGAAGCAAATGCCTTTGCCCATTGAGCCATCTTGCTGGTCTGGGTCAAGCTTTTGGTGGGCGATTCTAAGTGGCACAGGAAGTAGATTTCAGATGGAGCACAGTCCCACAAATGTAGTACTGCCAACTTGGTTAGTAAAGTGTAATCTCTCAGCCGGATTATAGGAGGAAGGCTTTTCAGTATTCTTTCTTTGGTTACTGGAATGATTGACTATTTCATGTTTAGTGACAAATTTTCACTTTGGTCTTTGGTAAATTCTATTATATATATTTGAGGTTTACATAAAGTTAAGAGAAATGTTATGGATAGCAAAATGTTCTCTCTCTCTCTCTCTCTCTCTCTCTCTCTCTCTCTCTCTCTCTCTCTCTCTGTGTGTGTGTGTGTGTGTATGTGTGTGTGTACACACATGGGAATTTTCTGCTCATTGCTCTTTGCCCTGTCTTTCCTCTGGGGTGAATTCATAGAATCTCTTCACACTGTACACATCCCAAGATGCTGAGATCTGTAACAAACTGCCATCTCTTCCTTTTCTCTCTCTCCTGTCCTTGGCACATTCCCACTTCCAGCTCCCCATCTTAATGTCTCTGCACTTCTTGTAGACAGGATAAATTTGACGTTGATAGTTTTGTGGGTGGATTGGTGCTCCAATCACTCCATTGGGATTCCTACCTGGCTACAGGAAGTGGCCTCTTCAGGTTTCATATCCCCAGTGCTGTGGGTTACAGCGAAGGTCACCCCATTGATTCTTGGATGTTTCCCATATCCCAGGTCTCTATCTCTTCCTGGAGATGCCCCCTACCTCCCCATCTCTGTCAGTTGCAGATTTCCATTCGTTCTCATGGCCATCTGGTCTACCCTCTTGTCCCTTCCCACACCTGATTCTGAACCCCCAACTCCTCCCCATCTCCTCTCCCACCCAGTTCCCTCCCTTCATCTGCCTCATGACTATTTTATTTCCCCTTCTCAGTGAGATTCAGGCATCCTCGCTTCTGCCTTTTTTTTTTTTTGTGGTGTGTAGCATGGGTATCCTGCACTTTATGGCTAATATCTACTTATAAGTGAGTACCATGCATGTCCTTTGGGGTTGAATTACCTCACTCAGGATGATATTCTCAAGATCCATCCATCTGCCTGCAAAACTCACAATATCTTTGTTTTTAATCTCTGAATAGTATTCCATTGTGTAGATGTACCATATTTCCTTTATTCATTTCTCAGTTGAGGGACTTCTAGGTTGTTTCCAGTTTCTGATTATTATGAATAAAGCTGCTATGAACATAGTTGAGCAAGTGTCTTTGTGGGATGGTGGAGCATCTTTTTGGTATATGCCCAGGAGTGATATAGCTGGGTCTTGAGGTAGAACTATTCCCAGTTTTCTGAGAAACCACCAAATTGATTTCCAAAGTGGTTGTACAAATTTGCACTCCCACCAGCAATGGAGGAGTGCTCCACATCCTCACCAGCATGTGGCATCTCTTGAGTTTTTGATCTTAGCCATTCTGACAGGTGTAAGATGGAACCTCAAAGTTGTTTTGATTTGCATTTCCCTGATGACTAAGTATATAATTCAGATGTTTAGTCCGCTATCAGCATTGGTGGTATATAGGCAGACATGGTGCTGGAGAAGAGCTGAGAGTTAGTTCTACATCTTGATCCAAAAGCAGCAGAAAGTGACTGTGACACACAGGTCAGACTTGAGCTTCTGAGACCTCAAAGCCTGGTGTGCCAGTGACACACTTCCTCCAACAAGGCCACACCTACTCCAACAAGGCCACATCTCCTAATAGAGGCACTCCCTCTGAGCCTATGGGAGCCATTTTATTCAGACTACCACAGCTGTGGTAGGGTGCCTTCTCCTTTAGTAGAGCCTGGTGAGTAGACAGAGGACTTTAGAAAGGCAGAGGCAGGAGGTTGGTCATGAAGGATGTAGACACTAATCAACCTCACACTTCATAGATGGAGGACCTTAAGATGGAAAACCTCACAACCAAGTTTGGTTTCTTAGTTGCTGTCACCCCATACCTTCTTAAGGAAGTCAGACAGTACAACCCACCCAAAGAGCTTATCTTCTGCCTGCCAGAGTCATCAGGCTTTGGGGACCCATGGCAGGGGCATAATTAGACAAATGCTTCCCCAGTCCACCCTAGGGTTTCTAAACCTTAGCCACTCACGCTCCACCTTCGCAGGTTTCCCCTTCTTCAATCATTGTGTCCATTAGTCATAGTTCTTCCTTACTCACCTTTAATAGCCTCATAGGCTTGTCTGAAACACAAAGCTGCACCACTTCCATAAAGAAACACCGCTCACTCTCCATGCTGTAAAGACCAGCTACACACCAGTATGCACTGATATGACTGTGTCTCATTAGATAACTCTAGTGCACTAATACTGCCATCTCCCAGACCACCGAGATTGCATTTGGGAACATACCACTGACTATTTCCTGAAAGCAGAGCAAAAGGAAGGGCATAGGGGTGTCAACCATAATTGCCTTCCTTCCAAAGTCCCTGTTTAACTGGTCCCATATCTCTGAGGACCAGAGTGAGGTGAGGAAGGTCCTGGCAGGTGTTTATCGAATTGAGGTTCATCAAGGACAAATGGATATTTCCTAAAGGACTGGACTAGAATGGGGGTCTGCCTAGCCTCAGTTGAACTGCTTACTGCCTATGTCTTAGTCAGGGCAAGATCCAGGGCAAACTGGCCTGGCTTTGTGAGAGCTAATGGAGTCACAGAAGTCAGTGGCTCCAACCTCCCGCTGTCCTGGGTGTCCCTATTCTGCCTTTACACCAGTCCTTCTTGAGTGGCAAGCAGTTCTCAGCTTCCCAGAGTGATCCCTACTGCTGCAAAGTGGCACCGATCAGTAGAAAGCTATTTTTGAAGTTAAAGCCACATACTACCCCTGAGCTTGCCTTGCTCCAGGCCTCGCTTGGCAGACATTTGGCACATGCAGCCCTTCAGTGTACGGTTCTCCTGTCCAGAACGAATGTTTAGAGACAGTTAGAGAAGATTCTCCAGGTTAGTTTGAGAGATTCTCTTACCCCTTCATTGTAGTGCAGCACACATTTAAAAAAAAATGACCATTTCAACCGTTTTGATGGCATAGTTCAGTAGCAGTAAGCACATTCAAGCTGTTTCATAACCAGCCACATCATCTACCTCCAGAGCCTTTCATCTTCCCAAACTGAGAGTCTGTCATTACTTAACTCCAACACAAATCTCCTCTCCTCCCAGGCCCCAGTCACCTCAGTTCTACTTTGTTTCTCTGAATTCAATGACTCTTAAGAAGCTCATGTAAATGGAATTCTGCAATAACTGTGGCTTATTTCATTTAGCACAGTGCTTTCAAGCTTCATCCACCCAGTAGCATATGTCAGAACTTGATTTATTTTTTTAAGGCGGGTAGTATTTAATTGAGTATATACTGCATACTTATTCATTAATTTTATCTCTATCTCTCTGACATATACACAGATAGACTATCTCTCATATCTATCTATCTATCTATCTATCTATCTATCTATATATCTACTATGAGAGAGAGAGAGAGAGAGAGAGAGAGAGAGCGCAGATACACACTCACTCACATTTGGTTATTAGTACGTTTTGACCACTGTTGATAATGCTTCTGAGAACATGAGTGCACAGATCAAGTTACTGCTGTCAGAGCTGCTGTATGCACATCCAGGGGTAGATTAGAGTTGGGGTCACATCATGTTGTGGTTCTGTACTATATCATATGAGTAACCATA